ACCTTTCTTGTGCATTTGTGCTTGTTGGTGTTTATGTTTCCTGGCACACCTATTACGACGTACGGGCATTCGAACCTTTTGTAAGACCCTGATCTTTTTTTCGCAGAGCGTACCGCGTCGATTGGATAACCTGGCCGAGCCTACAGTATAATACAGCGCTGGATCCGAGTCAAACTTGCCTCTGCCAGATCTGAAGAGAATAGGTCAGACAAGAGAAAAGTGCAATTCTCATGAAACCTATTACACCGATGGAGACCGAGAATCCGAACACAGACCATTAATTAGTTGAGACAAAAAAGTAGGGGAGTCGCCAATCCTAAGAATAATTACCACTGTAAGCTGACAAGGAAAAGGCCTCGTCAACTCGATAGGGAAATAAATGATCCCAAAGCAGTGATCGCAATTAGCCACAGAAATCCATTCTGTGACGCACTGTTTGCTGCACGCTGCAGGTCTTACGACACGGTTTGCATGCACGCTCGGAGGTTGGCGTCTCTATTTACTTTGGTAACCTTTCCAAACCACACCAGAGACCCTCATGTTAAACGCTCAGAAATAAACAGCTATTGCAATCCTGGTTGGACGGAAAATGAATTGACAACAGTGGATGCCTTGTTTTACTCGACGGGAAGAAAAGCAGATTTCATTCTCAGTTTACTGTCCTGCACGTAAAACACACTGTCTCCCTCAAAAATCTACTGCATCTACGCGATGGACTCTCCTGTATCAAAGTGATCCCCCATCAATTAATCAATAACGCCTTCTGCCTGACATTTACTGCTGACTTAGTACCGAACGCCGGTTGTCAACTGCAATTCTGGGTTTTTTTTTCAATCGATTTTGTACAGGATTGCCCAAATGTCTCCGTCGAAACCCGTGTGACTGGAATAGATTTTAAGTTAAGTCAGCACAGCCTTCTCTTTCCAAAGATTTATTACACCAAAATGTCATCGATTCCGAAATAGATTTTGTTTCTGTGTGTATTTCAAACCAGGGCGATTTTACTATTTTTTTCAAACTCTTACCATTTTTTTTTTAAATTGATGGGTGGGGGTATCCGTTTCTTGCTGCCGCCCTTTTCGATTTTAGCTGAAGCAGCCTATCTCATTATTTTTCTTTCAAGGATTTTCTTACAAAATACAAGACGTTCGGGTGTGCTGGTCAGTGTATGCTCCTGGTTTTATCTACAGAGTTCATGGTGTGAATTTTGCTAGGGAACATGTTTTGTGGAACTGTCAATGCGACACTCCTCCTATTAAGATTGAAGAAAAACTATCTGGCATGTCTTTGAGGGCTACTCTCAATTACTATTAGAAATTTATTTCAAATTTTCCGCGCTTTTCTAGGCGAATGAGGGCGCGCTCGCTGTGGCGTCGTCACAAGGAGACGTTTGTGGGATTCCTGTCCAAATTGTAAATCCAAAACTATGCTTATCAAGATTGTCTGTGAGAAAGCATTGCTCACTGCCTTACTTTCAGAACTATAATGAAACGAACCACCAAAAAAGAGAAAATGCAAAACAACAAAATATCTGACATGCTGGCAAATTTTGTGGCAGAAACTATTGTAGCTCATGAAATTTCTGCCTTAGGAGACATTACACTTTTGCTCATGAATATTCCAATGGCACTTATGTGTTGCGACAAGCCCTTAAAAATGGTACAATAGAAAAATCAGCTGAAATGGGACAAAAAGCAGTCCAAACTTCTCCAGCTGCAAAAAGTCATCTAGTAAATCGAAAAATACATTACGGATACTGTTTCAAATGTCAGGAATATTTAATTTCATACATTAACTATATTGATCGCTAACCATCACTCAGGTAGTGGGAATAATAAAACTTGATAATAAAACACAAGTTCTTCTTGAAATTAAACTAATTGGCATAAATGACATAGGCATGAAACACACAACCTTAAGTTAAGAAAAAAAAGTCACCTTATCAGTCGCAGTTCTTTGATGGTTTACTTTATTTTCTTTCTTTGAATAAGCCCATTGTGGCGAAAAACGTATCACGTAAAATCACGTGGTCCGAATGTCTCCACCGTGTGGTCATTCAACTTCAAATGTCAAGTGATTTACTCACATTGAAATCAGCGTCTTCCAAATATAGTCACGTTCAATCGCAATGACCACATTAAAAGGACAACGCTTTTGCGGTGTACTTAATGCATCGCCGACAAACGCGTTTCTTTATATCTTGGAATATTTTGTTCGGCAGGATTCACACTGGCCGACATTTTTGTTATTGTGTTTCGACATGCAGTCAAAATAGTTTACAATCAAAATTATCGTTTTGTAACTCTGTAACCACATCATGTTATGGCCCAATAGGGTTACATAAAGTAATTTAAATACATGTGCATGTATTACTCCATATAAAGGTAATATATGTATTTAAATCACAGGTGAGATTTCTGTACACGGTACCCGATGTTTTCCTACAATTTTTATGACGGCTTCTTGTTTTGAGTAAATCGGGAAATTCTTCCCCGCAAATATCCCATGAGTTTCCGAGGAAAACACAAATTTTGGTCAACAACGCCACGGAGAAAGAACGAACGTACGTCACCGGTACGCTGCCGGTGGTCGTTCAAGCAACACCCGAAAACTGGAGAGCCGTAGTGGGACAGCCAGTGTACTCCATTAAAACAGATCCGAAGGGAGCCGGCTCGCCCGCTCAATCGGGCTTGTTGTGGTGTGGAATTAATAGGACCACAGTTCGATATAGGTATCAAGTGGCGGTTTTGTAAGACCATCCCGGACTACCAGGACCAATATAGCTCTTCGTACTGCTTGTAGTCAGTCTGCAAACTGCCAAACTCTTGTGCAAATCGAATTTTATAAAAAAAGAGAGATGCCTGCTACTGCCTTGAGTGTGCACAAAGCAGAAAAAAATCGCACGTGTTGAATTTTGTTGGATTATTCTATCGATGGAGTTGTGAGTGCACTGTCCTACCGTCCCGCAAACCAAATGAATAATCATGGCGCGGAAATCAAAATAAGATTGTTTCCAGTGAAGGTAAAGTAGATCAAATCGAAAATTTATGATATTCTTCAATTTCTGGAGCGGACATTTCGGCTATATGCCTTTGATATTCCACCCACGATTTAAGTCAACATTTGAGAAATGATGACGGCTTCCAACATGGCACATCCATGAAGATAAATAAAAAAATCACTGTCACCCTCACGTGTGTTTTTAATCGAAAGAACGAAGCGTTGTACATTATTGAACAGAAGTACGGTTCAACATCCGACGTCTAACCCAATTACAAAGGTTTATTTATTAACCCAAATCCCCCTACACTGTCTAACGTGAATTGTTCACTTGACGTCAGCCTTTGCATTCGTCGCTTTGCCGTCAACAGATGTTTATTTAGCATAAACACTGTTGGAGTTGATCGAAATCAATAGCAGAGATGGTAGATTTAATCGGAGTACCGAAACCCAATACACCGCTTAAAAATTATAATTATGCTCCCGGTTTATCACGCCTCGATTGGCTAAGTTACGTCAACTGTGATGTTCCTGAGATGTTGCCGTCATTTTTTCACGGTTGTCAATCGAATAAGTTAGATAAACATATAATGGATTTTCTTTCTAGACAGCGTGTTATACAGTCCAGTGCTTCGCCTGGTGGAAAGAAGATGTACAACGGAGTGGATTTTATGAATCATTCAAACATAATGAAGAACCATTGCTGTTAAGTGCAAGTATAAAGCACATGTAAAACTTTTAAAGTTTTCAGGACTTTGAACAATAAGGTGACTGTCATATTGAAATAAAAGGCATGTAAATTAATATCATTAACATTTTAGCTCACGAAATGTACCCGTTGAAGGGTTTTTATACCAGCAAAGTGTATTGCTCGTACCACTGCGCCCAATAAGTTGCTTTATTAGGGGCGTCTTAAACCAATATCCTGTTTTCAGTGGAAAAGAAGGGCATAGAGGAACCAGTCAATTCCAGAGATGGTGGCCGCTATGCACAAGCTCAGCCCGAATTACGAGGTGTCGATCTTTAGTGTGGGAATTCAAATTGTTATGTTTATGTGCAATCAGATAATTCCGTGTACAAGATTTTACTCAAATCTAGCTCGAAAAGGCTTATTCACTTCCACACCTGTCCAACTCAAGCAATCACGTCACCAGTTTTGAAACCTCTTCTTTTCAGACAAGGATTCTTTGATGACAGGTGCATGCTATTCATGCAAGACCATTCAGCGCATCGAAGGAGTTTTAGCTGGACACCAGTTGCAGATCATTCATATACCTTTTCATATACTGGAAGTGCAGCCCAACAATCTAGCTCAGCAACAGTACGCACCCACCATCAGAGCACATATTGTTTTCTTTATAACCAGCAATACTTTTTACACAACTGCATGGTAGAAATGAGGCTGGACAAATTCTCTGTGGTCTGGCTCTTCGTGATTTTCTGCACCCTCGATCAGTTACTGGCTGTTACCCTCTAACTTAAAGAACAACACGAAGGATTGAGGTTGTGTTAGGCTAATAATGATCAAGGTTGTGGATTACGTGCGAGGGGTGTTTAAAGACGAAAGTCCAAACTTTCCCCGTCCATGGGGAAGTCGGTATTCAAGAAAATGGGGGTAGCAATGGGGCTTTAAAGAAGGGCTAGGGGTGTTCCATTTTCTTTATTCCTGTTACAAATGTTTTTGCGATCATGATGACAGATTTATGAATACAGGCAAGCTTTTCTGTGTTCCCTATGGAAATCTGGGGCAGCGGAACATTCATACACCCCCTCTCGCCCACCAAAAAGGTCTCCACGGTAAATGACACAAAAGTAAACAAACGTGATGACGAAAAAGCAAGCTTGATGTTGCTACTTTTGCTATTTTGCATGACAGATTCTATCTTGTCTTTTTGACGCAATATTGAATCCTCAGAACCATAGCCGGCGAGACCCCCTTTGCGCATGTGCGTGGTGGTCCGCGCCTAAAAAAAGGTGCATAAAACTCCTGACAATCCAAAAGCGCGAAGTATATAAAACGATAGACTGGAGGAACAACACTCACTGCAAACGTTTCGCTGTCAGTTGAAATACCGCGATCCTATAGGGTGAACACAGGGAAATCAGCCGATCAGTGGTTGTGGTAGACGAGTATTCGACTTCTTGAAGCAGAGAGAGTGAGAGGACAGCGACGTGCTCATCATGGGGTTTATGCCTGTCAGGTTGCCTTCTTTGAAGTTGGTTGTGCTGATAGTTTTGGCAACGGTTCTCATCCTAAATACATCCACGGCAAACGGTGAGGCTCGATAGTTTTCGTCCATTTTGTTGTCTGTCTTTTCTATAGTTACAAAGATCGTTGCCAATGTCTCAGCTTTGATTTGATCGGCCTAATGTATGTCACAAATGCAACACGGTTTGCCTATATCAGGCCCTTTGGCCATGACTTGTTTTACCCTAAAAAAAAAACCTGACAAACAGCTGAAGTGACCTGGAACTGAACGACTCATCAAGGCAGGTAGGTTATGCTAATAGATGTTTTCAAACTAAGACTTCTATATAAAGTAATTCAGGTAATGAGCTCAATTAGTTAACGATGCGCTGATTTAGTAAAAATATGACGCCGTAGTATTTTGGACAGTGATTGAGAGAACAGGGAGGTTCATTTAAATTCTATGGACTGCAATTTCGGTCTTTTTCAGTTTTCGAAGTACGTTTGAATTCACGTCATTAGATAAAAACAAAGACTTTCAATGGAAGAGTCATCGGGATGTTCTTGTAGCCTAATAATTAGATACATTGTAATCAGAATTCCCCAAACATGACGCAAGTCTTAATTGCGGATTCTTCTTAATACGGGCGATTCACAATAGTGCTCCTCCAAGAATTTGCAACGCGTTGGCCAATCACAACGCGCGAAATCTGTCGACCCTTTCCAAACGCGCATTGGGTCGACAGATTTCCTGCATCCTGATTGGCCAACGCGTTGCAAACTCTTGGAGGAGCACTATTGTGAATCGACCGTATTATTGTTTTTCTTGTTTTCTTTATTGTTTGATAAAAAACATGAAGTTTACTGCTGTTATTTTAATTCCTCTTTGCCAATGTAATAAAGTGCACTGAGTACATTGTACTAAAATGCGTTTAATCGGTGGCATGAAACCTTAGCCTGTGACGTAAAACTCTCGAAATTTAATCCCCCATGTACCTTTAAACGGCAGCACCATCAATTACTCCACGTTTTTGGATTGCGGAAATTAAAACAAGACGAAAGCTGGAAATCGCAATCAAGTCAATTATATTGTTATGTTTAAACCTTAGTCAGACACTCTGCGGAGGTTGCTTAACCCCAATTATTATACAAACAAGACGCACTGGCTGGGCGGTAGTCGTGCCTTGTTTTAATTGAATCCGCGTGATGGGTAAAGTGGGTACTTCACGTCTGTCACTCTCTGAATCTGACGTGTAATTGTGGAAACCAAACTGAACGACTCATCAAAGTAAGGGTACTTTTCTCACAGCCTAACGTGTACGAGTCTGTCTCTTTATAAGTTTAAAGCTTTCTTTATTTCCCTCTTTTAGCTCATGTCACTGACTTTCTCCACGTACTTTCAGCTGTATGTGGAAGCAGGCCACAATGATAATAGTTTCACTGAGTTGACTGTTTTGTTTTTGATGTAAAATTTATACTCACTGATCATTTATGTCCTTTTGTAAGAAAAAATCAATAAAATAAAAAGATAATTAGAATTCGTTTCCCGAAAGAAAACAAAAAATACTGTTTTTAAACTTAATCGATTTTAGTTTTAATTGTTCGGTAGCTTCCAATCGTCATGACCTCCTACGTTTGGCGCCGATGCTGAGATCACAAATTCATCACGCAATGGGACTAAGGACCGTTGGGCTTTGGGATCGTTGTAGGGAAATATACAGCCCAGTTTTTAATTAAAACTGGGATGACCGTTGGAACCGGGAGCTCTATGTTTAGATAAATTCATCTGCAAGCCCAAAAATTTATTTTGTCTGGCCAATGGCCTAATTCGACCCAAAGTAAGATTTTATATGGGACACGAACGCCAACTTACGGCCAAAACATGCATCCAAGGGACAAAAAGCGTGTCAAATCCATCCATTGGATATTTCAAAATGGTTGTGTATGGCTGCTACTTAACGAATTATCAACGAATTTTAAGATCGTCGTTTTCTATTGCGTAGTGCCATGAAGTTTGTGGCTTGTTGTTTCTTGTTTTATTTAAGTTCAACAACTCTGATGACCCAGAGGGGTGGGAGTGAGCATATCTCACATAGGCCTAGTATTTAACAGCAGCACAGTGTCTCCTACAGGGCATATTCCCCTTCCCCAAGACATGCTGCCAATTTCGTTTCTTTTGACTCTCCACTATTTGGAATTAAAGGCGCTGAAACTGTATGGTATGCCACCACCTGTCTTGGGGGAGGTGAACATTCATTTACAAATGGAAAGAATTTCGATCTTCGCTTTCAGAAAAAACCTATAATTCCCCAGCCCAAAGCTACTATTTAGCATAGGGGGTCAATCCGGAAGGGGGGGGTGTATATTCCCCGGCCCCTTCTATGTTTTGACCAGGGAGTGGGCTTTTGAATCACCCCCACTTTTTCATTTAACATCACGAAAAAAGGGAGAACAATCAAAGAAGCCATAAATATGCCGTTCTGCTGAAAGATTCTGCATGAATGTAATACATATTACATCTGTGTCATGAGCATCGTCCCGTATTTGTTTCGGGCGTAGGCCTATATCGTCAGCCCCTCCCCCTCCGGCCAGGCAGGTCACCCCCTCTCCCATACACACACTGTCCGTCTTACTATCCAGTCCACTTTTTGTCACAACGAACACGAGGGAACTGAGCTCTTAACCTGATATTTCTTTAGTGTTGAAGTTCACACGCTTATATTAGCTGGACGTTATCAGTGTTTTTATAAGTGAGGACAAATTGTGGTAACGAGGACGCTAATTTGTATCTGATCTTCGTCTCGTAATTGAAGAGAGCTATTTACTTTGATCTCTTTCAACAACCACAAATGACGCATGACAATCAGAAATGAACGTGTTTTCGAAGTTTGAGTGTCCTCCAGAAAAAAGAAAACCCTTCAAAATGTGCGGCTCCATTTTTTATTTATAGGCGTTTTTTAGTTCGCATAATTCAATTGTGCTAAGCAACCTCTTTAGCCGAAACATCCCATATTTATGCCCTAAGTGTTAGAGAAAGAAAGATCGCTCATTTACTGAGTTGAATAATTCCTTCCCATTTTCCTCTTGGCTTTCTTGCAGTGAAAGCCAAGCAGTATTTGACAAAACGAGTCAGAGACGTGGCAAGTGAAAGATAAGCCTTAGACTCAGTCCTTTTCCATATTTAAATGTTTACTTAGGATATCTGAATGACACGTTCGACTTGTCGATTTCAGGAACCCTTTGTTCAAGCCTCCATTGTGTGGACGTCAGCTCGCCTGCTTGTAAATTCTGCAACAGGAGAGGTAAGTACGGATGTTTAAGCAGCCGATGAATGTTGAGAGTTCAGGTATGCAACCAAAATGACCATTTCCTTGTAATGCCACATTTACGTTTCTCTTTACCTTGCACAAATTGATGAAACACAACTAAAACGAGGAGAAAATAACAGGAAAAAACGTAAATCTGGACATCACATTCGAGATGCGTGCTATCGAACAAAAATTATTCCACTGACTCTTCATCCAATGGCACAAAATCTCACGTCTGCCTTCGGGGCTCAAACCAAAACCTTTTACATGTGCTCGCTCCCTGTATGGCCGATTTCATTTGTGATGGGTCTTGCCACCCTTGTATAATACGTGTTGTAACGGAGCACTTAACGTTAGCAAGCCTGTTGATTTCAGCCATCATTTGATTGAAGACTTCTCAAAGTATTCTTCTCCGGGCACGTATTTTGTCGAGCTGTTTCTGCAGTAAACCACGATTTCATGGATTTAGAAGCGCTACAGCGAGATAGGCAGACTAAGAAGGAAGGACACAAGGTATTAAATCGATTTATGACACAGTGGAGAGCTGTAGGCCAACTAATTGCCAAAAATGCCCTACGTTTGAATGTTCTTAAGTCCGATAATAATATGCTGATCCGTTTATCGTAAAATTTGCATTGCAACAGAGAAAACAGACTCCTTCAACCACACCGCGCTCTGTCTAGTTGAACAGCGGGCCAGGTCGCTTATTCCAAATGAGCATGAGCACAATATAGCTTGGCAGATCAAGATTTAACGATATTCAATGCGGGGATTGAGGGAACTGAAGAAAATGAGCAACAGTCCATGAGGGGCGTGGCGTCTGAATCCCTCTTTTTTAAAAGCAACGCAGAAGCTGCCGGTAATTCTTACAAAAGCTTGAGCATTAAAAATACCTTATAAACATTTCCGATGTCTTTTTCCGATTACAAGTTGTCTTTCCTTCAAAATAATAACGTTTCATTGATTGTGGGATGTTTGAAATTTGAACGTCTCACTCACGCATAAATAACCGCTGTATTTTTGAGCGCAAGTGGTAACTTATTTTTTTCTGATGGAAAATCGCCAAACACGTGCAGTTGTGACTGACGAATAACGCCAGGAACGCTCGAAGGGGTAGTGTGGATAATTCAGCTTCTTCCAAAATGTCTTTACATAAAAACTACTATTTCTATTAAAAAAATACAAAAATACTCACACTGCAACGGAATGATACAAATCGTTTGCATCATTTTGGTTTTAGAAGTTTTCAGCTATGGCGCCGTCATCGCAAGACTGTCGTTGCTTATCTTTTTGTCGTTGTCAGCCAAGGGTCGGACGAAAGGGGCATGTGATCTGACTACTCACCGCTTTGACAGCAAAATGTCACTATACTAAGTGTGCTGGTTATACATTATAATAGACACCTGCGTTATCCGTAACAGCTTCAGCAGGATTATGTAGCACGGTAGGTACGAAAGAGGGAAAAGGGGGTTAACCCAGTTGGTAATTTGCGTAGAGAGTACACAAGATCCAAACTAAGGATTTATGTGGATTGAATTTCTGGATAAGCCTAGAATACTTTTCTTTTAAAATAATTTTTCTCTGTTTGTTTTCTTCATGGAAAAGTTAATTTGTTCAAATTGTTCCATTTTCTGCCCACATAACATATGCTAGTTTAACATTTATTTGATACTAGGCAGGATTACGCTCACTTCAATGCTTGTTATGGACGTTAATATGCCTCACTTATTAGCATGGCACATGTATCACATAATACGATGATTTACATTATATGCCATATTTCGTGCAGTGACATCTTGTTATGAAAGCCTCGATTATGATTGCTAAGGTTAATCGAATCGGATGGAAGGAGGAAGCAGCCGACGAAATGAGAGACACATGCACTCTCATCGTCTGTACACTGCCACCAGTGCACTGAGTATCTTTAGGGATAAAAAGTTCTCTGTCTCAAGCCAACTTTTCCTGCCTCTGTTTTTGTCTCTCACGTTCCTTTAATCTCTGGCTGTCTTTGAAGCTGGTGTTAAAGACACACGGATGTGGGTACTTGCACTTCAGTAAAAGTCAACAGTTGGTCCCGGTCTACTTTCCGCTGGATTAAAGCGGCGAGCACTGGGCCTTACTCCATGGTATCGGATTCCTCTTGCTTGTCTTATTTCCAGCAAGAAATTTTCCCTGCTGGACTGGCTGGTTTGCATGATCATGAAGCAGACACGCCAACTGATGGTTACCAATTCTTCTGCTAGAGGGGGTAAAGGAATTCCTGAACCATATGTGACTGCTTCAGCCCTAGAATAAGCTTTGGTATGCGTCAATAGTTTGCTGGATTTGTTTGCAAGCTGTTTCTCCTGAGTGTTGCATGGAATGAACGAACGCTGTTCACTTGTTTTTAAATTGGATATGGACCTATTCTGTGACCATGTTAAGGCTATCACTTATCATTGGCAGTGGCCCCCGCCAATGGTGGTACTAGAATATTGTATTAATTATTGTTCAGAGACTTTGTTTCTGACAATCGCTTCATACAAAGCCCTACACAATGTTGTCCGCCATTTAAAGGGACTATAGGAAATACACCACGAAACGTGGCTGGATTCTTCTTCAAGATGAATGCACCTGTCCGTAGTTGAACAAGATTCCCATTGCCGGACCTTTTCAAAGACCATTATTTTCCTTAAGGGACTCTTGCCCCGGCGGGATGCATATAGAGCGGCAAGCCCTTACAAGTCGTAAAGAAATCATCTTTGGTTAGTCGGCAAAGACCCATCAACAACTTGCTACTTAGAGGCAATAACAACAACCACAGTAGAGTAGAGCGTGCAAAGCCAAAGCGGCTTTCCGCCAGAGGCCTCGGGGCGGCTAGGACAGCTCAAGTTGCCGAAACTTTGACAAGTATATGGGCCAATGGTGCAATTAGCCGAAGCCACGTTGAATTTTGTATCCCTCCTGGGTACGACAGGACGTAATGAATGAATCGTTCCGTCAGTGCGTTCACTGTCTGACGTGGATAATAAAGAACACGACCGCAAGCAAGATGGTTGCGCAGGGGTTTATGGGTAGGGACCAAAGTGGATAAAAGCCCCTCTGATTTATGTAGGTGAGTAAAAGAAAATGACTCAACCGCAATTTATCAATTTTTTACCTCTCTTTCTGCTGTGTGTGAGTATATACCAACGAACCAACCATTTTTACTCTTGAACACGCTGTAGTTGGTAAGTCGCGTAGTTCATCATTTACGACTCAGAGGATGGGACCACGCATTATTTTGATATTTCATATTTGTGCAAAACTCAACCTCTATCAATCCAACAAATTAAAATTATGATCAATTCGAACGGCTCCGAAAGAAGCTATCGAAAACCATCTCGTTACGTTCAGGACACACAACCTTGCCACATTTCACAAAATGTTGATTAAGCGCGAAATAACAGAAGATAGCACAAAGCACGACAAAATGGTACTGAGTTCAACCATTGAGCTATCAAAAAGGACTTTTTAATTAATAGCTCCATGGTTGAACTCCAGTCTGTACCATTTTGTTGTGCTTTTTGATAGCTTATAAAGGACTTCTTAATAGCTCTATGGTTCAACGAAACAGATGCAGGTATGTTCCAATGACTTTAGTCCCAAAACGTGAACTTGAAAAGGCAAGTTCGCTTCAATTTTAGGAACTGCCGCCTTTCGCCTTCAAACGTAAAAACGTGAACAACAAGCAATGTTTATCGGAGAGCGGTATCGACAAGTTTTGGAAGAAGTCATTGTGACACAAAATTAATGACAGTGAACATCATGTGTGGACGAATTTTGGAGTCGCTGATGACAAACAGTCTGAAGTACCCGTTATACCGCATCCTGGCGGTACCGTGTTTTTCCAGAGTGTTCCCGAGGACTCCCTTGTGCCTGGTTTGAGGAGATGACTTAGCCGGAGGGACCAAGACTCCAAGCCATTAACTGGACGTCAAAGCGGGTCAACAGTATGCAAATCCCCGCCTGGATTTCTTGTTGGAAAGGAAAGATTACTCCTGTCCTTGATGGCCTTGTTTTTGCACACCCTTTCTCCCTTATTGGCACCGACATTTCTGTGAAATAGTCATGTTGAAAGTTTAATGGAAATTTGTTAGGGCTTACAATCTTAAGACCGAGACTTCAAACTAATTAGCCTATGACAGGTAAAAGTATGAAGACCCGCCCCCCAAACCGTATTTTTTTTTTACCTCAAACGGTTGTAATGCCGCCATGGTGTTCTGCAAGCATAGGAATTTAAATTACAACAATATGTCATTAGTCTGTCAAATTTTTCATTTTTGGGGGGTTCGTCAACGAAGCACTATGTCAACGTACAAATCGTTGCAAATAGAAAAGCAACATAAAACAACATGGCTGACGGGTTACAGATATCTGCAACATCTTTGGATTTGAAAAAATATCGACTGATTAAAGCTGCGCAAGGACAATGTCAGATAAACAACAAACAAGCAACAGACGACAAAGACAACAGAAAACAGAAGTATAAGAAAGCATAGAGCGAAACATTTGGGTTTTCAAACAAGTAAAGATGACGCAAAATGCGTGACATTGACATTTCTTTCGATGTGCGCATCAAAATGGACCAGAGAAAATAAAACGAAACGATTGATTAGCTGATGGACTACGGTCAAATGAAATGAGGCATTCTAAACCAATCACGTAGGCCGTTAAAAGCGCGTCAGAGAAGGTAATGGAGCAGGAGCCAATCACATCAGCGGTTCAAGTGTGCAGTTATCGATCGCAGTGAAACTGTCAAGGGAATGTCTGTCTGTCTATGCAGTACGGAGGACGGATGGCATAAAAAAATGCAGCACTTTTTAAAAAAAATCCTACAACAAAATTACTTCAGTCAGCCTGGAATATGTGATAGGAAGCATTTGCTGTGTGCCGCGATTTCTGGTACTTAGATACAAATCTGAAAAACAAAAGGAAGAAACGGCGAAGTCATACAGTTATGGCAGAGGTAAACTCAACAGAGAGCCAAATCATGCACAAGCAAAATTGGAAAGTTTTCTGGCGATTTGTTCACTGTGTCAGTGTTTGGAAGTTTGATGGCGCTCATTTTGTATCTCCTTGCCGTTAAAACATGTTAAGAACTCCACTAACGCTGATCCCACGAATACCCAGCATTCCGCCGCCAACACATAATTATTGCGTGCGAGGCGGCTCCATCGCTTAACATTAGCGGTGTAATTCGTAAAAATGCATTGCACCGCTCCATCATTGTGGTCTCGGATAATGCAGCGGGCCCGGAAGTGGGAATAGAAATCACAAATTACAAGCATTTAGAGTCCGTGACTCAACGCAGCGGCCACGTGCTTTCAATCATCTAATTACGAGGCTTTCAAGTTGGACAGGGAGTCCGTCAAGTTGAATTCAGAAGCGAGGCCATCTGCGGATGTTATTGCTCCTTTGAAGGGAGGTTTAGGGGCCGCCGTTGTGCTGGGAGCGAGACCCCGGGATTGTATTTAATTCCCCACACCCGACCCTTTCTCTAGAAAGCTTCGTGTATTTCAGAAAACTTTGAATTTGAATTTTTAGGATAAGTTTTTCTCCACGAGGAAAGCTCTCTTGTGAAAAAAATCATATTCCCCTTAAATTTCTCAAACCAATCAGCGTGAAAACACTGTGCCCTATCCTAAATATTTCAAAGTTTGGTTAAAGGTTTTAAACATGCATGTTCACAAAATGAAATAGCACCAACACAGAAAAAACTAGATTTTTTGAAAAGCTAAAAAGGGCCATTTCTGTCAACAAATGCTTTGTCATGATGAAATATTTTCTTCAGTTAATATTTCAAGCGATTGAATATACCTTATTAAAAAAAGCAATAAAACTTAGATTAACACTGTTAACATTAAGATTTTAAACAGAAGACGCGCAGCATTGTAGATAAAAGCCGTACAACCTGTAGCAGTGAAGAAATTTTTTTTTTGTTATGTACATACCTGACAAAAACGTTCGCGTACTCGTCTAGTGAGTCATGATACAGAGCCCTATCAAACATTCCTGCCAATCAAAGAGGCCATTTTCATTTCTTGGTCTTCATCGTGCTAGCTCTTCTTGGTTACAGTGATGGTAATTTTGACCCACACAGCGCTTGACAAGAGACTAAGGAATGTTATTCATCACCGTTGCGAATGACTTTACCAGTGAGTTTTTCCTGAGACGAAATACTGAATTATTCATTAGTGGAGACGATTCATATGCAATTTCCAAAGAGTGCAGACGACATACCATGCATGTGAACGCTAATTATCCATGCAAACGTCAAAGGTCCAGACCGCTCCCATCGAGTATTCCCGTCGTCTCGTTCGTGAAAGTANTCTCTCCGTCTCATACCTTGCTGCGTATGTAAGATTGTGTTTCATGTGCTTTTAAAAGTGAAATAACATTACTTTTAAATCAGCATCAAGAATTTAACAAAACGTAATACCCCAAAAACGAGTCGGTGAAAACGGGTTGTGTGGTTGCACTGTCTTTGCATTGCTAATCGGTCGTAGCGCAGGACTTGTAAATTTATTGGTTCGTTTTTCTTTTCTTTTTTCAGTCGGTAAGAGGACAGAAAACTATGCATGGAGAGACGACAGGGACACGAACAAACCAAATGACGTAAAGGTTTTGCTTCTTTGCTTTATACCAATCATTCAGTTAGCTTATTTGAAGTATGGCGGACGCAATAGGAGGGCGCTATTTGGTTTAGGTAAAACCTTTTGTGTGGGCTCAAAATTTACCCTCTTCAAATACTGCCCTCTATTGTGTCCACCATGCTTCAAATGAGTCTATGAATATTATAGCAAACAAGCCTCGCTTTGGCATTAACAACTCTGTGTGCGATCTCCCATCAGCGATAAAAAGTACAAAAGCATTCTTGAGAAGGCACCGTCAGTTTGCCCCACTACAAGCGATAACAGAAAGCAATGTTTTGTACCTGCACAGAAAGGCAGAAACCTCCTTGGTATAGAAACCATTAAAATGATATTGCACAGTAATAATAAGGCCCACCCTAGTCAGGAAGAATTTAAGACTCGACGAGGCAGCCCTCAATCAAGCCAGCCAGGCCGTAATATCATGTGATATTTTTGAAAATCGCTCACGTTTTCTAAAGCACGATCAAGTCGGCGAGGGTTTTGTGAGCTGAACTGTACGAAAAGAAAATTAATCATTGAATGCCTCGGCACGTTTGGCTGTTATATACACTAAAACTTTGCTGCCAAAGACACTCATTAATTGATACTTACTGGATTTGATGAGGGAATTTTGGGTTAATTGTCCTGTAAACAGATAAATCATTATGACCTTAGCAAATTATAGTTAGCAAATTATGAAAAACACTGACAATAATTACCGCTTGTGATTTCTAAATAACAACATGTCTTTCCGAACACCAACGTAGCAATGTGCATTCTGGGATTGAAGTTCGTGCAAACAAGCAGGAACTTCCTACCAACTTCGGCCGACCATATTAAATGGCGGCCATTTTTTTTTAACCTTAGATCCGCATACGAATGAGACGATTGTTGTTGTTTTCCATTTTGCTTCCTTCAGAGAGGAATAGCGACGCCAGAATGCTACCTGGATACAGTGGTCGGCAGCCTGCCTCATGAGCTACAAGAGCAAGTTTTTGAGGTAACTCAATCATCAAGTATATTTCCAGTGTTTATGTCCCTTTCAACATATTTGGCTTTATTCAAAAGCACTAAATTAAGACTTAAATATGCATACGCATGCTGTAGCGTATCCCTCCGATGTTTAGCGTGAGATACACTACAAAACACTTCATATCAAGTGCGCGTCTAGCTTGTTTCTGGGTTAGACTGAAGTCATATCCGAATCGGAAATGAGTAGGTAATAATGGCTTCAGTTTTTAAACTGATGGGGAGAAATTGGACACATCATTGTTGCGGACCCAGCCTCTGGAAGTCTTGGCCGCGACCAACATTTGTGAACGCACCCACTTTGGGTGGCTGCAGCCCTGTTGCACAGGCGTGGTTTGAGAGTTGATGCCAGCCGTTGCCAGAACTTTCAAACACAGCTTCAGGCTTTATACATGTGTGTGTGCTAAGATAGCGATGATTATGACCCTCGACCTGGACTAAGAGAGGGTGCAATTTTCTCAGCGACAGACGCTCCTTTGGTCAGAACTGACTTTCGCTGGTTCGCTACCAACAAAATGAACACTCCCCACCAACGTGGCTCTTTTCAACCAATGAGGGAGTGCTTCTGCTCGAGGCGGATAGCGCATAAGGGAGTACAGGCTAAAATCCTCTATGCTGCAGCCTTTCTGGGCCCTTCTCAGAAACTTTTTTTTTCTGTTTGAAAATTCGTTCTTCGGCTTTGTAAATATCAAACCATGAACGCTAATAACCCTATCTGCTTATGTCATACTTTCTTGATCTGTAGGTCTTAGAAGTGGTCCTTAATATGAATTGATAGGAGAATACAGGACGTCCGAGACAACAGGAAAAAGGGATGGGGCATGCTTTTTCTCGAAACCAACAACCAACTCCTACCGGCGCAGTTGCCAAGCCTGGAACCCAAACACAGCACCTGTTTTGTGAACTCATACAGTTAAAGTATTTTAATAAAAATGGGTAGCTTTGACTATTTTTGAGCGAGAATAACACCCAGAAATCATTACGTTGACAAGAAAAATTGGGGAAAAGAAGAAGAAATCGACCACTGCAGTTTGGAAAGGTTTGCATGTGGATCACTGGTAGACAGCAAATGCTAGGAACAAAGTCGAACTCTGGAAACGCTAGCATGGGTGCAAACTGCCAATACGTATTTCCTCAGGGGTACACCCTTTAACTTGTCATAATGTTTGGGGGAAGTAGGTTGTCGCTTTTTACATTTATTTAAGGACGCTTTAGGGTATTCAAATTTTAACAAGCGAATTATTTTAATGCCAATTTTGTGAAAAACAAAACAAAAAGGTCATGCTAAACTCAACAATTAAATATAAAACGACTTAGCGACGTTATAAATAGATGTTAGATATTTTAACGTGGAAGATATTGCTCCAACGACAGCAAGAACAATTGTAATAATAATGAGTCATGCGATACGAAATTTATAAGCAATGCTTTAAAATTGTGTAGCCTTCGTGCACATGGGCTTGCTAGCGAATTCTTGCCTTGTAAGGTGAAATTTTGTGATATAATGATGACTCAAGACAAGAACTATTACTGACGACGCACTGTGTATTATAAGTTTTGTTTCTTAATTTAATTAAACAATGATCGTTTCAAATGATTTCTGTAAAGTGAAGACTTAATGCTGGTAGAGAAATTATCGTCTTATAGTTATAATGTAGATAGTATAAGATATTTGAAGTACCATAAGCACATGATTATAGGCCTTAGGACTGATCTCTACCACAATAACCTCACCAATTTCCAAACACCATGACTTGTCTCAAAGGACAATTGTATCCGAATGTCGCACATGGCCATGGCCGGCAATACCCCCCCCCCTTCGTGGAAGCTTCGGCTACACTCTGCATTCAGTGCAGCCTTAAACGACGGTACTGCGTTGGTCTGCTCTCTGGACGCATTATGGCAGTTCTCTTGATAACATCAGCCGTGTCCAAATTACTTGATTGCGGCTAGAAACAATACATGAGCCTATTGTAGCCATTATCTAGAGGCTTTATGTGTTTATCCGAAGACATGGATGGGTTGTTACTGGCCGTATATTAACCGATCCTGAGAAAGAAAAATTGCAGCCGTCCTATAGCAAGTCCAGAGCAGTGAAGTAAAATTAACGTAGTCAGTTACTTGACAACCTGGATATGAATGATGTTGGCATTGTTCTTCAAAATACAACTCCCTAAATGCACTCTTCCTCTGAAGAAAAAAAAATGACATCAAAAAACTTACTCGCCAGAATTTCGATGGGCTTTCCAGAAAGGGTGACGACGGGTGCTCTGTTCCACTCGTATTGTATTGTCCTCTGACTCATAACCCACTATTTTGGTTTGCAACAATTAAGACACTCATGTCGCTCTCTATAAAATATCTATATTCACTCACAGCTCAATTCCATATTTGTGGCAACTGACGACCTCTCATTTCCCTTCCAAACTTTTAGAAAGAAACACCAAAGACTGTGGGTTGTTGCCCCATGTCGTTCGAGCGTGGAATAGTTGACCTTGGTCACCTGTTTAGCTCTGTACCAACATGAGCATGGAGAAATTTGTTGGCTCCCATAAGCACAGCGCCCAGGAATTTTATAGTCGGTACCCAAGCAAATTGCCTTATTGGGGACACTTGTTTTTGGTGCATTTCTATACTGGAAATTTAAGGGTCAGTGCCATTCAATACGTGTAGAGCAATTTTCAACGTGACCTCTCATATGAAATTCTGAAATTAATTAAAATTAAAACATTATTTGGGCGATTCTAAAAGTGTCCTAGGCTTATTATTTTCTCTTTACACAGACTCATAGTTTTTTCGAGATGATACTCATAGCCGGACAGAAGATTATGGACACCAAAAAAAAAACTTATTTCTTCGATGTTGTTTACTTTGAGTTTTATTAGTGAATAAAATGTGACTGAGATATGAATGAATAATGTTATCTGTATCATTTTTTAATTTAAATCAGTTTAAAAAACCGTTTATGACCATCTCATGGCCCTGGGCAGATTTCCCATCATCCGTTGTGCCAGGACTTGGCGGTCCCATACCCATTGCAAAAAAGTACACAAGTAGAAACATTCGATAAAAACACGTCTATGTAGTTTCAATTCAACATTGAATATATTACCATTGGTTTGTATTGTCATTTGTCATTAAAACCGCCTCATACTTGCCAGTCAGCGTACATTGAGCTCGTCAATAGGAAGGTTTAATTCGGGCTGACCTGGCTAGGAAACGATATCGGTGTAAAAAGGATTACATAGACATCTCTAGAAAGACTCCAAAAGGCTTAGTGCGGGAATGCCGAAGAATGTGTCAAGGGGTGAATTCCGACCTCGGCTCTTGGTGGGTAATAGAAATCCATACAAGGGCTGGAAGGGGTTTACAGGGCAAAAGTCCTTAACAAATAATTTTTTGGGTACCAGGTAAAATGCGTTGTCGTGTTCAGACGTACAAAAGATGTGCTATTTTAGCTGAGGGGATATTCTTGAAAACCACCAGAGGGCGCTCCATAAGTTACCAATAACCGACTGAACCCACCAACGTATATTACTTGCAATGCTCTTAATCAGCTTATAGAGAGCATTGAATCCACTATTGGCCATTTTACCGAGCCGAATACAAAGCTTGCCCGGCGCGGCGATGCCCGCTCTTTGTTCTCCCTGGTGTCAATAGGTACAATTAATGGCAAGCCAGCCAACCCGCGCATTTGTATTCGGCTCGTTAAAATGGCCGCTGTGTGGCGTATATTTCACACAAGGATTTGCAAATCCAGGGTTAATATATAGGTCCGTGACTGAACCCACAGACATTATAAACGTATAGATCGCCAGTCTTGCGCATATAACCGTGATTTAGAAATGTGAGGGCAAACAATGGGCGAATCGGTGGATAGCAGCGCAACACGCTAACATTTGGGGGAATTGCCTGTATTTGTTCACATGTACTTCCAAATACGTTCACCTCTTTTTACTCTTCGGTACTGCTATCTCTTTCTTTTTTTCAATCGTTGCAACCGCGTTGTTTTGAATTCTTATGAGCAAGATTAAGTAAATGAAGGATTTCTTTTTACAATCGAAACATGGCTTCAATTTTATGGCTAGAATATTTCAACTGTGCGGAAATTCCCTACACTGAGGGGTGAATTTGCCCATAGTTTTGATTTTAGTCGGGCGCCTCGCAGATCGCGGAAAAAACCCTGTAATTTTGAATAAGGCGAACTTGGCGGTCTACGCGTTATGTGTGTGACTGAACGACAGAAATATAAACACAACCGTGATTGAAAAGTGCGGGCAAGCAGTTGGGCGAAACGATTAATGGCAGCGCGTTCAATGCGAATTGCGCGTGACGCACTGCAATGCCTGTATTTTATTTACATGTGCTCTCAAAATATATTCCCGTTTTTACTCTTTGGTACTGCAATCTCTTCTTTTCAAATGTTCGAATATGCATCGACAAGACGACCTTTTTTTCACAATCGAAAAANCATAGAATTTTATGGCTAGAATTCTTCAACTGTGTGTTGATTTACTTTACTAATTGTGAATTTGCCCACGCTTTTTAAAAATTTAGTCGGGTGCCGTCTCGGTTAGGGTACTGTTGTTTTGAACAGGAGCTGTCCGTCTGTGGGTTTTGTGGACTGTGGTCATAACCTTTTATAAGGCGCCCTCATGTGATAGTTTTCCGCGATATCCGGCCTCAACGTCACAGATTGTATATACGCCGTGTGTCATGGGCGCCAGTCGGTAAGTCTGACTTGACGAATAAGCCAACCAGAACCCCGTTGGTGATATGTAGTTATTCATAATTGCAATCAAAGTACATGTAGTTAGACTTGGCATTTCCACCAGTCAAAGTATTCAGACTTGTAGACTCGGTCATTTAACAGAGGTATAAACGATGTAAAAACAAGTCCAGCAATATAACATTAACAATCTTAGTCAAAGCATGCACGGTCCACAGCAAAAAAAAACTTGTGTTGTTTGGAAGGGATTCCCTCAGGCTGCATTTTTTTTACCGTGCTTTAATTAAACTTCGAAGTTTGTGAATATCTTCAACCCAAATTAATAATGCAACACTGAGTCAGAAGAGAATGGCTTGAATTGGGGTATGAAATAAAATGGAGACAGATTAACGTTTTGCAGGTACACATCACCCCTAGGGTTGTGCATAAGGTTTATTGCTTGTTTGTCATCCAAACCCATAATGCATTGCGATTGTCGGAAAGGTTTATTCAAGTGTGGATGTGGATGTGTGTGTGTGTACGTCACCGTTGAACTCTATTTATGCGCTCCAGCTGGGCCTATGATCGGTGGTCACTAGACAGGCCCAAATTTACATGCGCCAACACACCCACGACCAGCAAGCCCTCAGTGTTTCATAAAACACAGTATCCAAGCAAGACAGGCCGCGTCTGCGGATCCAGTTGGCTGTAAAATGTCACTAGAGTCTATGAGAAACAGCCAAGAAATTTGGACACAACCGCTGCGTCCCAAACTACGTCATAGCTCGTCACGAGGTGCCATATTCAACAGCCTTCAAACAATAAAGTTTTGCAGCTCTTGAGCCACAGAGGCCTCAGAGGATTTATCCATGATATCATTGGCTGGGAAGTTCAACTGGACAGGCATTTATCACTGCTTACCTTCTCCAATCGGTTGTAATCCCGTTCTCTTCTTAAAAGGCCATAGCGCTGCATCGCATTAACTCATCATCGATTCTTTGGTACCCCCTCGTCACGGAAGCCCGCCCCCAGGTGTCAGGTCGGATTTCTTGTTCGTCATTGACGGTCATGCGATATGCGGCGCGTAATCCGAAACTAAAGCTGCTGCGGAATGAGCCGGAATTGGCTGTAGCCGTTTGTTTGGCATTCCAAACAGCCAGCATTGATTTGAGTGGGCAGAATGTCGCTTACTGCAATTATGGAAACTAATCGATGGAAACTTAAAAGATCCGGCGTTAAGGCAGAATGCGCACGTCGGCAAGGAAAACGTAGAATTGATACCTCCTTTTAGCCAAATAGAGATTATTTTGGTCCATCTCCTGTAAAAAGCCCCATGATGTAGCCTCGTCCCAAAGAAGGGTCTAATAAATGTTATAAATAGATTTCGGAATTGTTTAGCCCCTTAAAAATTGCCCATTAACCGATCTAAGCCCGCCCTTTTGGCTTCTTACGCTTATTTCGAGAGGTTCCATCTTTGTGTTGTATGATTCTCCCACTCCTTAGGCTGACGTGATGTTGCAAAGTAACCTCAGCAACAGGTAAACAAACGGCCATCTCCACTCCAAGTTGGAGGGCATATATTTTCCCATCTCCTGGTCTTTACATCCCCTATCGATAATTCCCAGTAGGATGAACCTGCACTTATTGCAACTCGACAGGCTATCCGTTCCTCGACAGCCTATACAATTTCAAAGGAACATGAAATACGATCTCAAACAAACATGGATCATTGCCCTTTTTTCTGCTTGCAATGGTTTATTAATACATGCGTACAAATTAGCATAACAAACGAATGCACACAGCGGCACAGATCCGACACATCAATTAGCTGCACACAATATATTCGTATGAAAACCAACTCAAAGGTTCTGCCACTGATGCAGATGGATTCAAGGAGTTGAAGGAATTAGTATAGCCTATAACTACGACATGAAAGCGAAAAGAAGAAAAAAATGTGAGTTTTGTTTTGGTCATATTTCTGTTATATAATGTATCACGTGTGAGAAAGGGGCTCAGTCCACTTTGGGGAGTAGGGGAGGGCAAAACACAATAACATCAGAAGAAGATCAATAGGAAAAGGGGTTCAACTCCGAGGCATCCTATGGATTCTGGTGATTTTCTAGATCGTTGTTGTCTTCCATTCCCCTGTTATCATTTTTCTTTTCTTTTCATTTCTTTTTAATGTTTCCTTAATTGAGGGGTCTGGCGCAGGTGGGTGTGGATAGCTGGGGGACGGCATACAAATAAATAAAAAAAATGAAACAGCAGTTGTTTTTATAATAATGAAACGATGACATTATGTGAGGATTATTTAAACATTGTAAAGCATTGCCCGTGTCCGCCTGTTCACAACAATCGGACATTAAAAAAATGACGGGTGTGACCCCCCCCCCGAAAATTCTGGATCCCGGAGCTGCTTATTATAAAGAAAACTGAGACACAAGTGTCTCAATATCGTTGTTGGAACCAAAATGATGGACTGTACGCCAGTGCACATGGACAATCAGCTCAGAAATAGCTGCATATTTAATTGCACACACACTGAACAGCCATTTAGGCTCCAAAGTCTGGAGTTGGCCTTTCTCTCGTACAGCTCTGCCGGATCTTTCCCGCTAACATCTCCATTTCTCCTTCCGACCGAAGGTGACGTTACCATCTGTTTAAAATGCGTTTCCATGGGCAAACATGCATTCCCCGGGTACCCTTTCCCAAACAGAACGGTACTCAATTTGCATTATCAGTTGACACCATCACAGCTCGGCAGGGTGGGGAGAGCGCCACTCCACATGGCAACTTTTTCCACACGATCTCATGAACGATTAGGCAGTTGGGCCATCGCATGTTTGTATGCAAATGTTTATCCGCACAGAAGTATTTGGCGATTAAAACAGTGTAATAAACGACCCGAACATGATTATTAAAAAACATTGAAGGACAAGTGATGGTTTGTAAAACTTAACTAATGCGCAATAATTGTGTTCATCATGACAGTCCATCAAAGCAGACACGTTTGGAAATTTCCAGCGCAGCGAACCAAGAGCATGTGACAAATGACTGGATCCAACGTGTATCAATTATACAGTCTTTTACCTGTAACTGACTGCATTTCAACGACCATGCTAATTGTCAAGGGGAACCCGAGCGACTTTTCACGTTTATGAATTCAATATTTCCGGCATAAAATTCAGAGATAAGGCTTCAGAAAAAAAGTATACACACAGTGACTTTTTGCGTTCTGGCCTTTTATGTTTGTTCCAAACCAATGCTAATGTACTGTTCATAAATCACTTCAGACAGTCAGCTACATTTTTTGTACATATGGTAGTTTTGGTATGTTGTACTATAATTCACAAAGGCACTTATTTCAGTAATACCGGCCAAACAAACTATCAAGAAACAAGGTAAGCGTGTAATCACCTCAACATTAGCAGCTACAACTTTAAATGCTATGATTTCTTTAACAAGCAAGCACCTGGAAACGGACCATATTATTAATTAAGTTTCTACTGTCAGACTTTGTAAAGGTCATAATTAATGTTTGTAAAATGCAATACAACCATTTAACCTAAAATATAACATAGAATCTATCATTTAACTTCACCTAAGGCCTCTTTACTGAAAAGGAGATTTTCCTCTACTTTTGCGACTCATTTAATTAACTAAAACGTCAGTCGAAACGAAGGCTCATTTCGAGATGTCTGTAAAAGTCTGCAAATGATAGCGTCCACTGTCGTTTTAAATGGCAGCATGTTTGTCGAATTATGAATTGTCAGCCATTCCGACTTGCATCCTTCCTTAGTAATACTCGGCAAGAACGGCTTCCTGGGCTTTGAGGACCAGCTGCATTATTAAACAAAGAGGGAGAAGGCGAGGAGAATTATTTTTTAAAAATTAAAACGTGTAAGGGCGGGAAGTAAAAAAGAGTGGATCATGATTAAACAATACACATTAATGTAGACGACTACATTAATGACAAAGCGTAATGCACGTATATTTCTCTGAAAGAAGGCCGAGGCTCTCGTACCACACATCTGTACATGAGTTTTGTGACTTGCTTTTACGTTTGACCTATAGCTGCCGATGTGTTAAGAAATCTCTTTTGCTGAAAAATCAAATATTCATATGACCACTTGTTTAATAATCTACTCTTGTTCTGATCATATATAGTTCAGACCTATCCGCCCTGAGCAGAAGCACACTCTCATCTGTCGAAAAGAGCCATGTTTGTTTGGAGTGTTCATTTTGTTGGTATAACGATGCGACTGAAACGCTTGCATTTTATGGTCGTTTGTGAACCAGCGATGCGCAGTTACTACCAAAAGAGCCTCCGTTGCCAGGAACATTGCGCAGTCTCTTGGCCCAGCTCGGGGCCCTTTGCAGCTGAGTAAACTTTGTGGGTAGTTGAGATTCCAAAAATCAAAGGGAAAGTGGAGGAGCTGGTGCCAGCAGTGAGACAACGGTTTGTTTTCATTTCAACGAGGGGGGGGTTCAGATAAATATCACTGCTTGTAAACAAGCAAAATGGACTGAGAATGGAAATTGTTGCTGTGGTCAGCGCAATGTGTCAAATTATTCATCTCGTCTATTATCAATCATTAGAGAAATGTTGGAATTAGTCCTTATCTAGCGAAACAAAAAAATCAACCTGATAAATAATCTTAAAAAAAATGCCTTGGTTTGAAAGGTGTCAAAAGAAAAGGATTTGGCTCGCCTTCATGACGGGAAGTCTGAAAAAACCTTTCAATCTATTCAGTCAACTTGCAGACAGGGCTTATAAACCATAGCTGGTGAGATAAATCCCCTCGTTTTTAGATACTTGTGATTGATGCTGTTGGCGGCGTGACGCGTGAAATAAGCATTCGGTTCCACTTTGTACAACCGGGATCTATTCGCGGTGTTGAACTTTTTTAAGGAAGGACAAACCATCGGTTGTTTTTGAGTGTCTTTTCCATCACGCGATAATGCACTGTCCGGGTCAACAGGTTGCAGATGCAGAGATCGCTTCACAAGTGTTTCCGAGGTGCTTGGGATATTTTGTCGGCAACTGATGAGAGGCGGACTCCACGAGTGTATCAAACCGCCTCCGGATACATCATCAGGCATGAAAGATTGCGCACAGCATTTGAGAAAATGAAGACCCCCAAATCGATGCATGACGAATTCAGTTCAGTGGGGCAGAATATTTTATTCACATGAAGACGTTTACTGTGTAAGCAACGGCGTGGGCTGTCCAAGGAGGTGTTTCTTGGATCTTCCATGCAGATCAAGAAAGTGGGGTTGCAACCTAAACATTTCAATCCTCTGCTTGTCGCTGAAATGGCAGAAAAGTGTAATCATACGTGTGGAGGACTTTTGGAACGATACTGCAAAACCTTGGGAGCTTTGGTCTCGCGGCATCAATTAAGAGACGTATCAAGACTCAGTAATATGGCTGACACCGATTTACATAATAGCATATACAATGGCAAATGTATGAAATAGGAATGCACGGTCAAGGAAGCTTGACAGATCACCGAAGCCAGAATGCTTTTAAGCAAGGCGCCCCTGAATTCAATATTTGGGCAAATCCCACTGGACATATTGTGACACTTCCTTCAAGGAAAATTATAGTGCCCATATAGAACACTCCTTTTTGTACTAATCATAAACAATAATGCTTTTTCTCACGGGCTTTTTATGGGAAGGGCCCTGTTATTCCAAGCGTTGCCCTGTTAGTCCAAGAGTTTCCTAAAAGTTACTTTAATAAATCTAAGAAAGCTGATTTTAGACCATCTCACAGCCAGGATCGAAATCCGCCCCAAGATCTCATTTGTCTTGTGCCTAACGTTCGGAAGCTTGACATGCTCATAACGACGCTTTTCAGCCATGACATAGGGTTTTGTTGTGGCCACTACAAAATAGTTCAGAGCCTCACGTGCGTCAGCCTTAGTATACCTGCATTGGTCACGTCAATGAAAATGGTTTTGCTGATCGTAAAAAATGGCTTCTGATTGTCATAAAAGTGGTGTCATTGCCAAGACATTACCAGACAAAAGTGCTAAAGGCTTGGGAGACGAAAATTTAGAAGGGGTGGGGCGGATTCCTCCCTGGCTCTATGTACTTCAATGAGTTAGATAGAGAGTTTGCATTGCTGCCATCTTGCAGGCCAGTACGTGCTTTTGTTCCACAGGGTATGTACAAAAGAGATAGAACTGCCCTGCAAGATGGCTACTACGCATAGCCTCTATATTACTGGCTGGAAAACCTTTTTGGCTTGTCATTCTACTCTGGACCGGCAAAAATGGAAAGCAGGCTTTGTAGAAACACCTGTACGATCGCATTTTCATGACGCTTATCGATTCGCAGGCAAAGAATAAAATGATGCCAGAAACCTGGTAAGAAACACGATTATACTGAAATATTTCTCATTCAACTTCAACAGTAGAATTTAGTTACAAGTGTACGGAACATCGTGACTGTATAATGCATGGAGATACAACATAAAGAAAAACCATTTTTCTTTATAGGCAGATTGTACAAAGAGGTTGAAAACCTTTTTTGGTGAAATAAGATGGATCTATCTGCGAAACTCGTTTACATTACGATGAAAAGTGTGTCAGAAAACCGCTGAAAAAGGACGATACAGCCGAATTCTTTGAAGATGGTTTATCATGAAGTTCATCATGAAAATCCGTCACCAGATCAATGGCGGTTTTACTTCTTTCTCTCAACGTTTTCTCTGGCATGAAATAAAAGCACCAGTAACAGTCGAGCTGCAACTCATCACCGCACGCAATGCTTTTTGCATTAAAATTTGTGCGAGCGCGTCGACACGACTCACAACGATGTTTTGACATTAATTGGAAGATGTATAGCGGAAAGGATAGGATTCTGTAAAAAGCAAATGACAATCAAAGTGACATTTCGTTATTATAGTGAACTGTACATAATCGTTCACGGTGCTTGTCGGGCCTATTCTCCGACCTTCAGTGGGGAGGTGAAAGTTCTTTAAACCCCTGAATGGAACAATTTGCATGGAGCACTTTATTGTCAGTACATATGGTCACATTTACGATGGTTTTCGTACACTAATCATGAAGCGATCGGCGGGGCCGTTATGGTCATACTGTTGTAAAATACGACAGGGAGAGAAAGAACACACTCCGAGAACTAAGTAGCAGATATTGCGAGCACGTTTCTTTTTGCAGCAGAAACCTGCAGCGAACCAACCAAAAGAGATATGCATGTTGTGTGACATTTTAGTTGGTAATCTGTTATTTGCTGAGCAAATATAATCTTTGTTGAGCAAACCTCTGTGCTTAGTTACTTCATGAAATTGTCCTTATTTACAAGTCGGTCAGAATAAATTGAAATGGAGCTTAACTTTTTACTTTTGTAACAGGAGGTTCTAAACGGAAGCAATGGAATAAAACTTCGTTAGAAATTAATGTCATTTGTGCTACTAAATGTTTTATAATCTTTAACTAATTGCATCTTAATGCTTTAATTAAGCAACATTTGAAATAGTGAGCGTGAGGCATGGAACCCAAAATAGTCTGGTACCCCCCTTTTAAGAGATTCAATTGATAAAGGTAGATCTGGGGACACGATCAAACTGATGGCTCCCTGTGAATAACTTCGATTGGGCCATATTTCTGTTCTGTAAGCTCGCCTTTCTCAATGGATTCTAGGTAGCGGAAAGTAGAACCTTAATAATTTACACTTATGTAGTGACCAAAAAAAATACGCTTTCGCGGGGAGAGGTTGTCTTTCTAGCAAGCTCTGTTGAAATGGACCGAAATGTTTGATTCTTGTGTACCTGTTCAATCATTTTTTTGGATAATGAAAACCTGATGTTTAGCAACATATGGAATTTTAACCTCTAATGACCAACCTCGTATGCCTAAGAAGCTGGGAATTTTCGGGGGGTTATGCGAGATTGTTTATAAATCAACTCTATGACCTCAAAGAGGTCTTTGAAATGGCCACAAGTGAGAAGATAAGACTTAATGCTGCTTCCGTTGTCTTGGTGATAAAAAAACATTTTCGTTGTAATTCTTAATGCACCAGTATCAGAATACTTTCGGGTCAGGCCTAATTCGTTTATCTTTGACACAAGTTTTAGTGTCGCCTGACATTTGGTGCCATTTTCATATTGTCTATTTGTTCTGAAACATAGATATAATACTGATAATATTATATTATATACGCAGCCTTGTGCTGTATATATTGATGAAATTAAAATGCAATGAAAGAAAACCTGACAGTTTGCGTCAAGCTTTTATCAAATTTGTGTCGTTTAAACCGAAGCAACAACAGCGCGTTTGTTTCTTCCTTTTCCGCTCTGTTCTGCTGTCTTATCAGCCCAGCAACGTGACAAGATTCCAATCACACAAAACCGTTCACCCGGAAATAATGCGACTCCCTGTCTGTCTTGTCGTTTTGTTCTCGGCAACAATTCTTGGGGCTAGTCAAGCGAAATATGGCTGTGCCCCATGGCATTCAATGCAGGGAAGCTACAGTGAATAGAAGCCATTGTTGAGCATCAGTCATGCGGATACGGACCATGAATCCATTCGATGGGCTCACTGCCGAATACATGTATGAAATAATCACCAATGGCATTAATAAGGAGCTTATTTTGAATTTAAAAAAGAATTGCATCTGCGTTTATGACTTTACACGTGCGGAAAACACTAAACCGACCGATTAGCGTATTGGCATTGGCGCATAGATCATTTGTAGGTAGCCGAAAAAAGAAACAATGAAATCATTATTAAAAATTGAACTTGTGTTGAGGACAGTAATGACATCAGACTGCATGAAGTTACGTCATCTGGCACGAGAAAATCTTGTTGAAGAAGCAAAAGAGTTAACTGCTAAAGACAAGTAAAGTTACACAACCTTGGCGGTTTAATCCAAAAAGATCTTGGATTTTTACCATCTGTGATCTAACTGTGACTGGGGCCTCAGAACTCGGCAGTTACATGATTGATTGTTGTGAAACTTACCATGTATGCAAGGACGCTCATTATTAGCACAAAGTGAAACGTCAATTTAATAAAATATGGGGTTTTGATATAATGTCTATTTTATTGTTCATAGCCTTACATATGTGAAAGGAAGAGGTATGGAATTCGGCCTGACTTGACTTTACACAAGAATTAGTGAAAAAATAGGGGCCTACGCTGCGTGGATATTTTGAGAAAATATTGAGAAAGGGTAGATTCCACCCCTGGCTCTTTTAGGATTAAAGGAATACCCTGGTGACAGATTTCGTGCGTGTGCTAACCGTTGGCGCGTGCATTTTGACAAGTTGTAAATACCCAACTGGCAGAAGAGTATTTAACTCACTCGTTTGGTCCAATGCAATCTATGACTAAATGGAAACTTATGAATCGAGTTACGAGGTCCAGAATTTGGGGGCATTCTCTAGATGTGCGCTGTGACTCACAGAGCAAAATACTTAATTGGGTCAGTTAGTAAGCACCCGTCTTTATATTTTAAACATTTTCTTTTTTACTTAAATGAATAAAAAAATGCCCTAAAGGTCCATTCCAGTCAGTTCATAATCATCATCGGTTTAACCCAATCAAACCCTCCTTGACGATTTTTTTCTGATATCGTCCAAGTGCACTTTTGTTCCTGACAAGTCTCTATTTTTTGCCCAACATCCATCATTGTGGCATCGCTTTTATGAATACCAGACCCACCGTTCTCTAGAAATTCCTATTCTCCCGAGACAGGTTGCCCTCCAAAATTTCACTTTCGTTGTTGCTGCGCTCATGCCCAGACTGGCGCTGGGCATGGAATATAAATGAGCACATTTATGGGACTGAATTGAAACTTCTCACCTGTGCCCATAAGGGATGTCTATATACGCATGCAACTTTTCGAAAAAAATTAAGCAAGGGACAGCTGAGATTCAAGGGATGGCCTGTGAGATCACATGCGGCAAGGTATGAGACGGAGAGACCCCCCCCCGCTTTGTGTTGGTCATTGTCTCACAGGAATCTGGGGAATTCCTTTCAGACATCTTGGGGGATGTGTTAAGTAACAATAGTCTGGAATGTGTATAGGGATTGGACATGTGGGGGGGTATCCCTCGGTCTCATTTCTTGCTGGGTATATGTGAGATGGTTCGAAGAAAACCCGGCCCGAAGAAAACCCGGCTCTTTTAAATGATTAAATCAACAGGTGCATAACATGAAAGAGAATACCATCAAGAACTCACCCAGTCTAGTTTCTCGTAGCACGATGGAGGGACAGCAAGGTAGACGTCCTCCAGGTCACAGGTATCTGACGACATTATGCCCCGCTTCATAACCTAAAGGACAGTATAGTTGTGACCACAAGATCGTTTTACTGGAAACGTATTTTAATGAAGCGCAAATTCTAAAATGAAGACTTTTGATTAAAAAAAATGAAACATGATGGCCTATCATTCATTTGAAATGCCAGGATTTCAATTACAATTAACCCTGTTGCGATTTTACGAAGGAAAGAATGTTAGAAGGCATTTCCAGTATAATCTACAGAGGTCCAGTTGAGTTCAGTGCCTCAAAATTGTTAAATCACCCTTTCGGTACAAATTTGGCTGAATAAAGCTCTGTCACCGAAACTAAATAAAAATACAACTGAAGAATGGTCCTCCACAACGACGCTGAAAAAGTCCCAAAGCAACCACACACACTACCTGAGGAGATTTTTAGCGCACAACATGCGTCTGGTATTATGCATATGTAAAGTAGTTTTCTTCGGTGTAGGGCGCGGAATTGGGAAGTGTAAATGGATTGTAGAAAACGTCAAGGTTGAGTGATGGAAAGGAAGAACACAAATCAATTTAATCTATTACTGAAATCTAATCTATCAAGCAGGGAAAACCACCCTACAGGGCTTGTCGTTATTTCAAAGAGTTGAAAGCGCCAACATTTTAGAAACAGTTTTGTACCAGCATATTCTTTGGCAGGGGAAATTATTCTGTGGTAAAAAAAGAAAGGAGAACTGTTTTACTTGTTACCCTATGTCACGAAAATGAGGATCGTCCCATTAACACTAAATTAACTGAAATTGGGACAATGGAAATGCTGTTGTGGGTGAATACATCAGCTTACCTGATCTTGAATGAAGGCACCAAAGTTGGTATCACTTGGCATATTACGCTTCTTATGTGCTGCAAATAAACAGGCTTTTCAGAATTACATTTACTCCACTTATGCGAAACAAAATGACACTGACCGATTTGGAAGCACAGGGAATTTAATTGGAAAAGGTGTTTGCCTAAAGCCGCGTCAGCATGTTTTGTTTTCCACCCAATGCGCTTCACTCTGGTGTTGACTTATTATGCCAAAATAATGTAAAGAGGAATGGCAATGCTTACACATCACCCAGTTTACGCACTCTGTAAATACGCACATTCATTTACCTGGGAGCAGGCAATCGGGCCGCCCGAATACCTCCCCCCCCAGAGGGCACGCTTTGTAACAAGTGTCGGTAATATGAGATTTCTAGATTTTCACGGTGAGAAGGTGAGAACGTACGGTCCGAAACGTTGACTACCCTCCAGTTCTTTTCAGATCCACACATGCTCACAAAAGATGAGTTTTGTTGTTGTGTTTTGTTTTGCTGTGCATGGGCCAAGCGCAAACCTATTACTTTAACTTATATTGTCAGTAAGTTCCGTTTTATTTGCAATTTTTTTCTTGATGCTAAAAGATGCCGCGATAACCAATTATATTCTGCATTCATATCCCCTCATTCACAGTCCTTCTCCTCAGCAGGGGGTCTGAGGTCCAATATTGCCCCCCGTTTCCGGACGTTGTGACTTTCAGGCTTCATTGTACGATACTTTATCAGAAACATCTGAGTTATTTGTTGTTAAGTTTAAATTGGTCACCCAAAATATTCAAAGCAAAAAGTTTCAAATTCAACAATAAAGATTTGGGGCCAAAGTCGAGAAAAAAGTTAAGGTGTGTTAATTAAACTGGGACACTTGCATATATCAATCAATTGTAGTTCGTGCCCATGGAAACTAAGGTCATTTTCCAAAAGAGAAGAGTTTATGAATTCTACGATCGCCCAGTGGACTGCAGTGGAAGTACGTGTACAGTTTTGTTGAAACACCATACAGCCGGTACTGCTGAGACAACATGTAATCCTCATTCAGCCGACCTATTTTGACACCTTTAATCTGGGAATCCCAAGACACCATATCAATCCTGAGAAACCTGACATTCCAGAGAAGCCTCATTGAAGAGTGTGCAGACTTTGTTTTAACAATTCTTGCCCCTGCTTCAAAATTGGCAATCAATCGCTGTCGCATTGTTAGCCCCTAAAGGCAAACAACAGCCGTTACAAACTAATCCAAAGGGGATTACAAGGGGATGATTGTGGGCTGGGTTTGTTAGGAGGACTTTTCAGTGGGGCTTAGATTCCGACATGTATTTTTAGTCGCACATCAGCAGTAAACCAACGGGTGAATATCCAGGGTGCTTCAGTTTGTCGTTTGTGTGCCAAGGGAACCTGGAATTCAAACTTCTCAAACTTTTCGACTGGCATTGTGTCCAGGGAGTGAGGGTGGATACGCGTTACATACAATGGACTATTAACAACAGCCCCCAAGGATAAAGGTAGTGCCTATCCATTTATTGGATTGGCTGCTTGCAGGGATTAATATGTCAAATTTGGTTTAGATGAGTAAAGTTTAGTCTTGCGATGGAATATTTATTGTCCCCCTCCAATCTTGGAGCCAAGCACCACATGCACATAATTTTGAATAGGCTTTCAAAATGTGTCCTTCTGAGGGAGTGCGTCCCTAATGTTAACATCTTTTTTCCCAGGCATTCGGGACATGCCAAGGATTAAAAAGAAATTGGAGGCGATTGGTCTGAAAGGGGAAATAATAAACCCCCTCCCAGCCAACCTACTACACTAATTTAGTTGTTGAGCTGTTAAGACTATGACCAAAAAAAAAGCATTCATGTTGTTAAGATTTTTCCAAATGGTCTTTTCTTTCCACTTGTCCATGCAAAAAAATAAAACAAAACAAAACAAAAAACAAAACAAAACAAGCAATTTGAACAATTTAAGTCATTTCTATTGGATGGGATAATCTTTCATTCGTTTATTGTAGCTGATTGGTTGGTGTGTAAAATTGGTAACAATAAAAACTAGAACAGGATGAGAACCACAAAGGTCAATATTAACCCATTTTCAATATATCACCAGACATATAGCTGACCATTTGGTAAACATCGAGGTTTGTCTACAATTACAAACGTTTGTATGGTAATGTTCTCATAATTATCATGACATTCAACTATCATGACACTATGGCATAATTAAAACGTCACATTAACATTTTAAAAAATGTTTTGTTAACACCTAGAGTATATCCCCACTAGCATGTCGCCTTAACATTATCAAACAATATTAGAGTAACATTTGACATAACACATGGATGACGTTTTGTTAACACCAATGTGTTTGCGGCGAAATAGTGCAAAATTATGCGACATTCTGCACTGTTTTCACTGAACAAAATGTTGCCACATTCACTTCATAGCGCTTAGGAAATGACCAGTATAGCGGTAGTTGTCGGGAAATGAATGTTGCTGACAACTAGCTGACATTTTACCTTCATCTGCAGGACAACATAAAGTGTCTTTCAATAAGAGGGCTGTGACTCACCGGCGTAGAAGAAACAAGAAACGAAGCATTTCCAGTGTTTTTTATGAACATGACCACACTGGCTAGACTTTTGCCCCCAAATTGCTAAAGGGCCATAACTACAAAGTCGGCCTACACTGTCTGGGAACATGAGAAGACTAAAGACCATTTGCTCATTTTCCAGAGATCATGACCGCCATATAAGATTACTTTTGGACAAAATCTTTGTGTATCCCCAAACGAGGCTCGGTCAAGGGATGTAAATGACCAAGTTTGGCTCTAACTGGATGAAGACTGTGGGAGAACAATTTTGTGATTTTCAATAGATTGACCCTTGTGACCGCTACAGGTGATCACATTAAGCCATGTTCGCATAGAATTACCAGTATACATAGGTCTATCTGGCTCAAAACAAAATCCTACATAACAAGTTACATCCCCACAAATCAACGACCAAACCACATACAACAATAATAACTCGGTAATGTTGTTAAACTGATAAATGCCAATACTAACTCGATTTGGGGCCACAGACTGCCAAGCACCCTGGATACAAAGCGTTTCCCTCCTTACAACTGTCGCATCCTGGAAAATAAGAACAAATACGGAACACCAAATCCCTCGAATGTAAACTGCATGCCAAAAGCAACACCGTGGAAAAGGGCCACCAGGGCATTCTCCATTCATCTTTCTTTTAAATTACTCCAGAAATGATCGGTAAAGACAGGCCAACTCTCAATGAATGAGCCATTGGCAGAATCTTCCCCATGTCGTTGCAGTACAATTTTGGTTTGTTTTGTGTGCAGAGCTGTCAGAGGTTTTTCCAGGTTTTTTTTGTCTCACGTTAACAACGATTAACTTTTTCCACCGACTTCATAGATGCGCTTGTAATGAAGTTCTTTTATGTTGAATGGTCGGGCGTGGAATGGTCGAGATCGGGGGAATGCTTCAGTCTGTCGGCACTTAAAGATGAACTGATTGGACATTGCATCGCTTGTATACACAAAAACACCATGGGTCAGACTGACCCGGAGTATGGGGTCAGGTCCCATAGGACCCAGAGTCCGGGTCAGTCTGACCCAGATGTAGAGTGTAGACACAAGCGTGGTTTCATCTGCACAGAGACCTGGATGAATACTGAGTGTCCAATAAACAATGGGATTATTGTGGAGCCATGTTTGTTATTGCCTTCCATTTTTAACTAAACCACTGTAAATTCAATTTTCCATTTGTAACTAATCCCTGGTAAATTAAATTTTCCATTTGTTACTAAACCACTGTAAATTCAATTTTCCATTTGTAACTAAACCCCTGTAAATTCAATTTTCAGCAACTACAAAGAAAATGACACATAGATAACACACATTCAGGAAGCGATAGAAGACTTTTTCACTTATGTCGATGGACATGGGTGATCCTTAACCACAATTTCAGGAAAATGTAGAAAGTCATGATTTTTTTTTCTGAATAGCCGGTGTAGATATATGTATTTGTTTCAAAAAGTATACTTACTGTGTGCACTTGATAATGATGTCACAACCAGACAGATCAACACAGCCAAGGTACCAGACTGGAAGGTCAACGCCATTTGATCCTCCTGCAGCAAATCTCGAGGAATTTATCCAAAGTTTTTGATCTAATTTGTCCCGAAAGAGTCCACAAGAGACAAAACAGAGAATGTTTCATGAAAATATCCACATCAGGCTGGTACACTCTCGTTTGTTGGGTTGTTTGTTTGTTTGTTTGTTTGTTTTTACTAAACTTTGTATTAAGTGCGCGCGATCATTGGAGTAACTGTGGAAGGCGCAGCCAGCCAGCACGCATACAGACGGATTTCAGAGTCACCCGGACGCAGAGTTAACGGCACTGAACAATTTGTGAGAGGTTTATATAATTATCACTCCGCGGTCAGTTTGCTAGTGAACAGATCTACCACTAGCTGACTGATGGCAGTCGGAAGAATATGACGAAACGCTGACGTTAGGGAGTGCAAAACGTTGTCTTCCTCCTCGACGCTTTCGCCGAATTAGTGAACTGGCGAGCCAGGATCAGTAAATCTCATTATAACTTGGTCCTGTGTATGGGCCCTCTTTATATTACATGTATATTCCTACGCCATTCACACAGGACTCAGTACAACTTGAAACTACCGGTGAGGCGGATGCGCTTGCGCAAGCCCCAGTAATAGTCTGACAAACGATGACCGTTTTTGATATGCGATCCACACCTCAGCCGCGGCGATCAAAGGTGGTTGGTGTCTCGCTGGAAATCAGACTCCCAAGTGTACAGTTTGTCCCCCCTCCAAAAAAAATTAATTAAATTAATTAAAAAACATAGATTTTTTTACCAGCCCTCGCTTAAATGTATTGCTTCGTTTGGGCAATTTCTTATTGGTAACGTTCGCAGATTTCCGGGTTTCTTCAACAAACCTAGTATGAATGTCATGTAAAGATACCTTTCCTATGTTACTAGTATTGTAGTATCTTTCACAAACTCCTCGTACACGGAGCAACTTTGGTCGACCAAAGAAAACAGGATTTTTCTCCTGCTGAGCACTGTTGACCATGATGGATTAATTTCCAGAGGACTGAACTAAGAAAAATACCGCAGTCACGATGAGCAAGACTTTGTAGTCGCGATGACTTTCACGGGGAACAATAATTATTTCACCTTTTTATTTCAAAAAAGAGAGCTTGTTTTCCGTTTTAAGGTTTGGAGAATATTCTTAACTCAGTCATTTTCCCATTGAAGCCCCTTCCAGTATTTCGAGCCGGACGTAAACAGTTTTAAATAAAAATAGGAAAATCCAATAAAGGAAAATGGTTTAGTATTTAAAATTTAACTGTTTGCACCTTCAAGCCAACCTCCATGTAGTTCTCAGTTTCCTTTATACAAAAGTTTGAATTGGAGTCTGGCGCAAAGTACACGAAATAGCTTCATTCTGCAAACGAGTCGCGTGCGCGACATTCAACAGTATACTGTTAAGGAATAAGCCTCGTTCAACTGGAACAATTAACTATTTAGCACGATTCTCACTGGCAAATACGCAGAGAATTGGGACCACTAGTCACAAAGGAGCATTCTGCCAATTGTCAGTTTGGACAGTTATACCAAGGCCGAGGCAGCCAAAGCAATATAGATAGCTTTGACTTGTTCGTTGCTATGGTTATCCGCTAGTCTCAGTAAATTATTCACATTCCTTGAAACCAAAGAGCTGTATGTATTTTGAAGGTTCCCCTGTGTGGCAGGAATTGGATTCAGGAAACACAGATCTTGTGACTTCTAATTCACAAACGGACTCATTCCCAGCTTTGAATAGAAGTTATAACTCATACAAATTGAAACTCTGAACGTCAGTCCAAGTGAGAGATGAGAGAAATTGCCTCAAAATTCGTTACAATGGATTGGGTTATTTATATTCCCAATGAAGAAGTGGATTTTTTCTATCTAATTAAAAAAATGATGTATTTCATGTTGCTGAAATATCCTCATCGAAGTTTCAGAGAAACTTTGAACTCGTCATAAAAGCAAGGAACCACATAATGATATAAGTCTTTCGGTCTGGTTTGGAAAATAAAAGTAGACGGACTGTAGGTTAGGTTCGTGAATGTAATACTTTTCAGTGCCTTCTTGACTCCGTGGTTTTCTCTGAAACATTTATCTGGGGTTTTCCTCCCATGTCTAAACTAGAAAACTATTCTCAACTTCTTTGCAACCGTAATTTGAAGTGATGTCTCCTTACAATTTCCCCAAGCTGTTGATGATTGCGCAATGAAAATCATCCTCGAAAATCACATGGCTGCCATCAACAAAATATTTCAGTTGTTATTATTAATATGGCATTGAACGACACAGATCGTTTTGGTTGTTTCCCTCTTGCATGTTACCACTTCAACATATGTCAGGATGTCTATCAATCTCCCTAGAAAGCAATGTCCCGAACCTTTCAATCACGAAATCACGCGCCGACTGGCGACAGCTTGTACGAACAATCAACGGCTGTGTTACAAGGATCCTGTTTCATTAATGGCAATTAAAAATGCACGGTGCTAAGGTAACATAAGAACCCTTTAAGGGTCTGAACCTCAGCAGACGCAGAGAAATGGAAACCTTGTCTCTCAAATTGGAGTTGTGTCACAGGTCGCCAGTCCGAACATAACGTATGGAAACATGCATTGCAAATACATCGAAATTGTCCTCCTCTAACGCAATTACGCTTCTTGTTCAGCTCAATCGTCGTCCATGCTTGCGTGAGACCTTTTTTTGTATAAACCTCTGTTTCAAACTCAATATAATCACCCCGCAACAACTGAAAATTTGATTCATAGTTCCCCTGTCTAATACAAAAATCGATAAAAGTTATAAAAATGTTCATAAATTTAAAGTACATTAAGATGCAATTCGGCATTTGGATGAGTTTGTGCTAACTGCGCGTTGCCTATTCACACCTATACTGTCACGGCAACATGCTGTATGTAGTCTCAACACTTTGATTTTTGACAGACTGAAATAATTAACTAATACTCAATACTGTGGCTTTCAGCTGGATGTCGAGGCTATGGATAATCCCACGATACAGGCGACGCTATTGTGCTACGCAGGGTTTTGAAAAACAAACGAACAAAGTTTAGAAGTGGTGGGAATCAAGGAGCTTGACTTCGCTTGACCCTAAAATAATTACGGCAAGTGTACTCGCGATGAATGTTCATTTTGTTTGATTTCCAGGCGTTCCCTGTCTGTTTGTTTTCGTCATTCCTGCAGAATTTCTGTGAATTGTGGGTGTTTACCATAAATCATTCATATAAATACGAACGTGTCATGCTATCACTATTCATGCTCAAACCTACGAAATCGATTTGTTAATGCTGACAATACCATCACACTTGCAATTGCCTGTTTGTTTCCACATCAACCTAACTGTTTACGTGTCTCGAGGGAGGGGAAGGCTTCTCACCGAAATTAGCTCATGATGCTCAATTCCCCCCTCCCGGTTGTGCCAGAGGGGATTGGGATTTACGTCTTATCAGATGCAGTGGTAAATGTGTTTTTTTTGTTTCTTTTTTTACAACAAAATATAAATGTACATTCGAAGCCATTTCGTCGTCGAAAAGAGTGTCGGCACCAATTTAGCCTACGCGTGCAAAATGCAAATGTCAAGAAACAGACAAGTGCACGGCTTGCAAGAACAACTTTCCTGCTGGCTCATTGCCATGAAACTGCGCAACAATATACAATGCTAAGTAAAACATTTATATAAGTATAAATCCAGCAGTTTTTTCTACACAAATCAATGCAACACTGAGGTTCAGTGCCTTATATTACAGTTTTGCTCATGATAATATACAAATTTATATTAGCATAAAACAAGAAGGTCTAAAAAACACATCGAAATCAGGTTGATTGAAACACAAAAGTGCATTTTCAAGGATTTTAGCAAAATATGGTTCCTTTAACCGTGGTATAAAGAAGTGTAAATTTGTCGTTCAATTACGATATTAAAAGCTAATGCAAAACCCATTAAGAGATAATGAAAGTGATGTTAAATCATTGAGATATTCGGTTGTTTAGTCTTGCGTGTGGCCATCAGAGGTAACTGATATGCATGATGTGCATCTGCTGTCAGTTATCGATTTCTTCCAATTTTCTTAACTGAAAGCATCATGCAGGACCGCGCCTGACTATAATCCGTTGGATATTAGGTATTAAAAACTGAAGTTACACTCAAAATGACAAATCTCTCAAAGGACTCAAATCAAACATGAATGCATTACACTTTAATGGAGACAGACAAGTAGATAGACATTGGAGGGTGCGCAGAAGAAACCATTTCTTGAAATTAAAAAATACATGCACCAGGTTCATGCCACTGTAAACAAATTAGGGAGACCCTACTTCATATCAAGTGAGTGTGGTCTGTATTGTTTGTGGTAATGATTCTATCCAATGGGTAATAAATGGAATTTTCTAACTAGTAAACGGACTCCCTTGTGCATCATATTGCACACATATACATTATGGAAGCTACATCTAAACGATTCATAGAGATATTGGTTGCTGAAACTTAACACGGCTCAGTCGAATAATAAAAACTAATATTAACTATTGTTATATTTATGAAAATAACTACAATGAACCATTTCAATTCATGGACAAAAATCGCGTCTGGTTTTTTTTTTTTGGGGGGGGGGGAGAAAAGGAAACTATTTTTTGAAAGTGGGGCAAATCTCAACTATTCAAAATAGCCCTGCCCTTTCAAGCCCAGTCTATTCAGGTTGCGTGCCAGTAAACTGACGGAAGCCAGCCCAAGCGGACAAAATCACGATTCAAGTGCCCCCAAATTGTATGATGGAACATCATGTAGCCCAGGCTGCACGGTTGGTGACCAGGACTGCATGCCTGTATAGCCTGTGCAATCTTAATACCAGGCAATTTCATGACTTATTTCAGAGCTTGTTAATGTTTAAGATCAGTCGGACAAAAAATAAGTAAAACCATAGTGGACCCGAAAATTGCTACTTTTCTCAAAAACGTTTTAACGACTCATTTCGTTTGTGTACATGAGTTTGAAATAGATCACAACCACCAAGTGAAATATAGTTTGGCTGTGAACAACTTTATAAAAATACAAAAATATACACCCCGGAAAATATTACCACAAGCAACTCGTCGAGGGGTTTTACATGACAGGTACTACACATAGACTTTAACAAATTTCGCCAGCCTTTGAAGTGAATCAATCGGTTCGTCCCGGGGAGTCGGCTAGGAGGCAAGCAAACAGGCTAGGGAGCAAGTTTGTAAAAAGTGACAGGTCGTTCAAAGGCGAGTTGGCGAATGGTGAGTCGGTTGGGGGCCAGTTGACCTACAGATAATCCGGGGAAAATTTGATGTGCATCTTTGGGTGTTATTTTTAGTGGTTTAAAAAAATGGGAAATATGCACTGAGGGGTACAGGTACATGTCCCCAGACACAATCATTTCATTGAAATAATTTCATGGCGCTATGCCTGTGCAGGCGGCGGTTTGGTAAGAGAAGTTTTAAATTTAAGACATCCAATTGGATTCGGATGAGGTCACTACATCTC